AGCGGGGGGGGGGGGGGGAGGCCAGTGTCAGCCAATTGCTGCATGCATGTGCAGCCTGCAAGGTTGGTGGTGTTGCTTTGCACACCCCCTTCCTTGCTTGGGAGGGGGGAGAGAGAGTCAACTCTACCCTGGCCTGACACATCTCTCCTCCCACACTCTGTCATCAGCCAATCACATCACACTTGTCTCCCGCTATCACTCCCCTTACATTACTGCAGTCACACTAAACATTTAAAGAGACACACACACCAAAACATGAAATCATCACAAGTAGCCATGTTTGTCTGTCAGTAGCCGTAGAAGAGCAAGAGTCCAGCAGCACCTTAAAGACTAACAACATTTGTGGCAGGGTCCTGGACTCTTGCTCTTTTCTACTCATCATACTCTTTTTTGGGGGAGGGGGTGGTGGTGGTTTAAATTATGGAATTGGGATGCAGTTTTTTTAAAGGTTTCAAGGCAGCTGCTTTCTTCATCCATCTTGGTGGTTCTAGTTAAATAATTCTGAATGTTGAACAGCAGTCCTCGATGTCGTTTGCCCATTCTCATTTTTAAACTCCCTGTTCCCCGATGTTCCCGAAGGTGGAGAAATACGCCAAAGTGGAAAAATCTATCAAGTCCGATGACTCACAGCCGAGCGTCTGGCCAGCACACGTGAGTAATGTTAGGCTGTGAGTCTTCTCCGCCGTTCAGAGGCCTCTTGTTCCAAGATAGGATAGTCAGTACTTGAGTGTGTTCAGGTCATTAAGGGAAGATCCTCAGAATAGTTACAAATTGAGACCCGGGGGGAGGGGGAGGCAAAATTGGGGCAGGAATGGGGAGGCAGGGGAGGTGAGCGTTCAGGTCTTCCTTTTGGTCTTGTGAATTCTCCAGAGTTTGACTTTACAGCAGATGTTAGTACTGGTTGTGGCAGTGTTCCCTCTAAGCTGAGTTAGTGTGAGCTAGCTCACAGTTTTTTAGCCTCCGGCTCACACATTCTTGTCTTAGCTCAGGAAGGATGGCTCCAGAGCAAAGTAATGTATGCAGCAGCCAAATCGCTTGCTCACAACTATAATGCCAGTAGCTCACAAAGTAGAATTTTTGTTCACCAGACCCCACAGCTTAGAGGGAGCATTGTTTGTGAGAATGAAAAACTGTTTCAGTGAGACGCCTTTGCCGGTTCGTGACCATCCAGGTATCAAGGAGGCTCTGAATGTGGATAGTCCATTGAACTGCCATGGCAAATTCACGGGGATAAAAGTCTGATAGTTTTTCATTGGAACAAAACAGATGTGCAGAAGAGATGAACTAGGCTGTGTTTTGGTGGCACGGGGAGCCTTCTGCAAGGCAGCCTGCACTGCCACCACCATAGCCGCATCTTCAGTCTGTTCCCCTGAACGTGTCCGTTGCCTACAAAGGCAGCTGCAGTCACAACCAGAAGCCAGTAGGGGCAACTGAGTCACAGTCAAAGACATTGCTGGCTCCGGAGCCCCTTCCAAATTATCCTCCCCCACACTGCATTTGGAGATCGGCTGCTTATAGAACCATTTTCCCTCCGACAGGAGATAAAAGACGATTACGTCTTTGAATGCGAAGTCGGCAGCCAGCTGCAGAAAACAAAGCTGACCATCTTTCAGTCTCTGGGGAATCCCTTGTACTACGGCAAAATACAGATGATCAAAGGCGACGAAGAGGGCGACAGCGGGCAGGCAGCTCCGTCACAGTAAGTGGCAATCGTCTTTCGCCGCAGATAATAACTTTCAGTGTGGTGAATCTTGTGGGTTTGCGAGAGGCAGAGAGAGCTTTTAAAGGGGGTTAGACAGGTACATAGAGGAGACGTCTACCAATGGCGACTAGCCATGGTGACTAAAGTCCAACCTCCTGTCTCACACAGTGGCCAACCAGTTCCTCTGGACGGCCAACAAGCAGGGCATGGAGACCAAGGCCTTCCTAAGAACCAGAGCCCTGCTGGATCAGACCAGTGGTTCATCTAGTCCACCTTCCTGTCTCACGTAGTGGCCAACCAATTCCTTTGGAGGGCTAACCACAGGGCATGGAGGCCGAGGCCTTCCTAAGAAGAGCCCTGCTGGATCAGACCAGTGGTTCATCTAGTCCACCTTCCTGTCTCACGTAGTGGCCAACCAATTCCTTTGGAGGGCTAACCACAGGGCATGGAGGCCGAGGCCTTCCTAAGAAGAGCCCTGCTGGATCGGACCAGTGGTCCATCTAGTCCAGTCACCGGTCTCACACGGTGGCCAATCTGTTCCACTGGAGGGCCAGCCACAGGGCATGCAGGCCGAGGCCTTCCTAAGAACATCAGAAGAGCCCTGCTGGTTCAGACCAGTAGTCTGTCCAGTCTAGCCTCCTGTCTCACACAGTGGCCAACTAGTTCCTCTGGAGGGTCAACAACAGGGCAGAGAGGCCAAGGCCTTTCCCTGATGTGATGCCACAATGTCCAATTCCACTGATCAAACATATCTTAATGCACTTACTGAGATAATTTATAAGAAGAAGAGAAGATATTGGATTTATACCCCGCCCTTCACTACCCAAAGGTGTCTCAGAGCAGCTTACAAACTCCTTTCCCTTCCCCTCCCCACAACCGACACCCTGCGAGGTAGGTGGGGCTGAGAGAGCTCTTGACAGAAACTGCTCTTTTTTCGAGAACAGCTCTTATCAGCACTACGGCTTGACCAAGGCTAGCAGCCTTGTGATCTCATATGTTTATCTGATCTTATATGTTTATCTGGCCTCTCCGTCTTAAGCCTGTATTGTGTGTTCTCTTGCAGTTTTCTTATTGGTTCAAAGTCAGAAGCAGATAGGTAAGTATTTTAACAGAATGGCTTGGTTCTTGCAGTTGGACTTTTTTGGGAGGGGGGCGTGGTGTAATGAACAGCTGTGCATACAGGTGCTTGTGTACGCTTTCCAAGTTTATCACCAGCTTTGTTAATAGTGTCTGTTGTGTTGTGCGTTATCTACTCTGCTTTACAAGAGCCCTGCTGGACTGGAATTTGCCCAAGATTTATGCTTTTTTTTTGTCTTTGCTTGCTAACCTTTTGTTACCTCATTTCTGGGGACCATGCAGTTTGATCCTCTAAGAAGTCAAGGCAGCATGTCGTCAAATTATGTTAACTCCTGCCCAGTCAATTGCTCCTTGTTATTTCACCAGCAGACATACTAGGAGTGCATCAGCCATGGAATCTCATTGTTCTTAAAATATTAAAATATAATCTTGTTTGGAACACCTGTGCTTCAAGGCATGTTAGATCCCTCAACAGGCTTGAAAATATTTAACATTTGTTGGCCTAGAGAGCCAGTTTGGTGTAGTGATTAAGAGCATGGACTGTAATCTGGAAGAACCGGGTTTGATTTCCCGCTCCTCCACATGCAGCTGCTGGTGTGACCTTGGATCAATCACAAGTTCTCTCAGAGCTGTTCTCTCAAGGGCAGTTCTCAAGAGATCTCTCTCAGCCCCACCTACCTCACAGGGGGTGTCTGTTGTGGGGAGGGGAAGGGAAAGGAAATTGTAAGCCACTCTGAGACTCTTTCCGGTAGTGAAGGGTGACGTATAAATCCAATCTCCTCTTCTTCCTCCTCCTTTTCTTCTTCTTCTTCTGTAGATGTGTAGGGTCTGGACTCTCATACCCCTGGGTGGGACCCTTTAAACTACCCAAACCAGTTGGTCAGGGTCTCGGTAAGAGGAGAAAGGGTTGGTGCTATGTCTTTCCATGCTTCCTTTGAGTCTGAGAGATGCTCATGGGCAAATGCCTTTCTCCCTCTGAATCTTACCATCGGCTCTCCAAGCCAGTCCCATTTCCTGTCCCGGTCTAACTGTAACTCTTGCTTAGGCCCCCGAGGGGACCATCGGTCTCCCCTTCTGACTCTCTGGCTGCCATGCCAGTAATTGTCAGGTAGCCCTGTCATAGATCTGGAATGTGGAGGGGTGCACTTCCTCTTCGTTCTCAGCTCTTCCCTGTCCAGCTGCTGTGCGCTATCTCATGCTTGACCTTGTTGTTGTTTCCAGCTATAATTAACTCAGCTGGGAAAGCTAACGGTTTTTGCGCTTTGCCCGCTTGCCTGCTTGCTTTTGCCGCGCGCATGAACTATAGTCATTGGCTTCAGTTCATTGGGGGGGACGTTTGATCACACTATAAGTCAGAGGCCCTTATACTGGAGGCTATTCCTGACACAAGCTGTAAACGTGTACTTTGGTACTGGGACCATCAATAAACACTTACCTTCTTATGAAGCCTGGTGTGGTGTGCCCTGACTAAGGACCCTGTCAGTAATGTGTGCTCTGGAATCAGTTGCCTCCTCTGTAGACAATCTGACACCGCTTCCACGATTCACCTAACGCGGTGGCCCCAAGTCTTGTGTGCCCTTTTCTTCCAGTACGGACCTCGGTCCCGTGTTCATGGCTTTGATGCCGTGGGGGAGGGGGCTCAGGTTCCCCCCCAATGAGGTATCATTTCCCTCACTTTGTGTGTTTTGATCCCCGGGATCAGCATAGTTCTTTGCCTGGGCAGCATTAGGATTCTGGCCCGGTCTCCTAGTTTTTCTCTCTGTTTTTACGGGAACTGGTTTTGTGCAGAATTTAGCTACTCTCAAAATCCCAGCATTTATTTTCTTTGGTTTCCTCAATAATTGCAGCAAGATGTGTGAAAACACACTACAGATGTGTGGGGTGGGCAGGGCAGGGGGTTCCCCTAATCCGGATGTCTTCCCCAGCCTCCCTTTCCTTGCCTCCTTTCTTAAGTCACCCACGCAGCCTTCTCTTTTTGTCACAGCATCACTCTTTGCAAGGAATCAGTTGCCACACGCAGGCTGTGTCACGGCTTAGGCACCTGATGCTGCCACCACTCTGGATTTAGGATCCCTTTAGAAGGGCCAGAGCACCCTCCCAAGACCTTCAGACCTCCCTTTTGGCTGAATAATAGGCGTGAGGACCAGGCAGAGTGAACAATGAAAATAGTTTATTGTATAGGAGGTCAGACAAACAAGGTGTAGAAATATAACTGTAAGTGGGTGAAAAGAAAAGAAATCAAATGCCCTAACGCGTCTAAATATATACTGTCCCTAGCTCACTATCTCAAGTGGCACTGGACTACTCACCCTTCCCTCAGGATGAGGGTTTCTTCCCTGCAGCAGCCTTCCTTCTGGCTCTGCCCTCTGGGAAGAAGAACAGCTTCTCCTGCTGCTCCAGATCTTTTATTCCAAGCCCTCCTCTTTTCCTATTGGTCAATTTTGGCTCCAAAACCCCTCAGGGGCTTCTGGGAGTTGCAGCCTCACCTACTGCTAGCCAGGTTCCCTGGGCCTAGTAGGCCTCTGGTGGCACAGCCCAGATCATGATAGGCTGCGATCACACACACTAAATAATCAACGTTCATTCCACTCTCAATGCACTTTTGAATTGGATTTTGCCAGTTCACATTGGCCCTTTCTGCCCTCTCCTTTTAATCCATGTCCACCACGGTGTCCTCCAAGTCATTCTGCACTAAAATCAAGTTCAACCTTCTTTTTATTCCGGGTCTTTTCCCCATTCTGCACTGCATCACCACCCTTCCGTGGTCAGCCCAGTTTCAGCCTGCCATTGCCCCCCCAGGGTTATTTGGATGCTGCTTTGCCGTGGGCTTAAATTGCCTCGACTCAAAACACTGAGAAGATCTGAAGTGGCAGGAAAATGCAGAAAGGACCACAGTAAAAATCCAGTTGGAAAGTGGATTGAACGTGGATTATTTAGCGTGTGTGATCCATAGAGGAAACCCAAATGCTGAACCAGAAGAGCGTTTCAGATTGTAAAATATGGGGGGGGGGGGAAGCGTAATGATCTGCCTTGCATATTAATTTCCGTAGTGCTTCACTTCAGTCCTGGCTGAAAGTAATCAGTAGCCAAAGGATTTTTTAAAAGTCTCTGCATTCTTGGTTTGGTACCCAGATGGACACAAATCTTTTTGTTTTGTTTATTTAATTCCTTTATACCCCGCCTTTCTCCCCAGTGGGCCCCCAAACCAGCTTTCGGTGTTCTCTTCTCCTTTGCTTTATCCTCACAAAAAAAACGTGAGGCGGGTTATGCTGAGAGGGACACGTGCGTCCTACTCTGACTGTTGATTTTATGTTATAGGGTGGTCAGTCAGTACCAGGAGCTAGTTCAGAACGAAGCTAAATGCCCAGTAAGGATGTTTCACAATTTCGGCGGATCAGCCCATCTGAGTCAGCTTTCTCCCGGGAAGGAAATTGAAGTAAGTCATCACACAACGTGAGAGGACACCTTCGTAGGCAGCGTTTGACATGACAATTAACAGCATGAGATTCCATTTGAGGTCGACATTTAATACAGCCACACTTGCTTTCTCATTGTGACAACGGCTCAACTTTTGCCCAGTCCACATCATCACCAGAACTTGGTCCCTTCACAGTTCGGTCAGTGTCTGAAAATTTTTACAGAGCAGAACTCCAGGATTATGTTCTCCCCTTCTCTCCCGTGTTCCTCCTGTTTATGCCACAGAGATTGTGGACAGTGGAGACAAGGAGAAACTCTTTAAAGTTCTGCTCTTCCATAATTTAGAGACCATGGCAAAGGTACTCTGAGGCGTTTCTTGAGCTCTCCAGAATCTAGAAGAGGCACCCCCAGCCTTTTTCAGCCTGTAGTCACCTTCGGGATTTTGACGCGGGGTGGTGGGCACAATCACAAAATGGCCGCCATGGGGCACAGTCACAAAGTGGCTGCCAACCACAAGATGTCAGGGAGTAAGGTCATGCTTAACCTTAATAGTAAATCTAAGTAAGAGCCAGTTTGGTGTAGTGGTTAAGTGCGCGGACTCTGATCTGGGAGAAGGGGGTTTGATTCCCCACTCCTCCACTTGCACCTGGCTGGATGACCGTGGGCAAGCCGGAGTTCTGTCAGAGCTCTCTCAGCCCCACCTACCTCACAGGGTGTCTGTTGTGGGGAGGGGAAGGGAAAGGAGTTTGTAAGCCGCTCTGAGACACCTTTCGGTAGTGAAGGGCGGGGTATGAATCCAATCTCTTCTTCTTCTCTTCTTCAGCATTTCTGGCAGAAACCCTGTATAACAAGATGCCTTTTAACATGAACATATTGCTTTTAAGTATTTCCTCACGCGCACACAACTTACCTGCAGCCGTGCAGGAAAAACCATTGTGCTGCGGTGGCAGCTGCTGCTGCAGTAACTTAAAAAAAAAAAATCTGCATAGCCAATCAGATCTCCAGGAGGAGAGGCGGAGTCATCCTTGGTCTGATCAGTGGAATTACTGTTGGGGGCGTCTGCCAGGAGGTGCAAGCCTTAGCCCCATATTCTCCCCCACACACATATACATGGTCCCACATAGACATGGGGAGGGAGGGGTGAGGCCCCCTCCCATGTAGTAAGCAGCCTAGTTGATGGCTCTGAGCCTTGAATCGTGAGCGTTTTGCGTTCTCGCTGTAGGGCTTTGGCACTGTGGTTTTAGAAGACGGAACCCCAGCTCCTCAAGACGGCTACAAAAATGTAGGATGGAAACGTCTGTGTGGAATCAGTGAGAGTTCCTCAGTTCTGTTCGTTTGGATCAAAACACTTTTTTGTAGTCTACTAGTTCATTTGGAATGAAATAAATGGCCGAGCAATCCTTCTGTCTTTATTGGAGTCCCCCAGATTAGGGGGAAGAACCAAATGGCAGTGAATTTGGAGTGAGGTGTAGGGATTAGGAAGGTTTGCCTTGTCTCTGGGGAAACACCTGCCTCTCTTTTCCCCAAGTGCTTTCCTTGGGAAGGCGAGAAAAATCTCATCCTGTAACAGCGTTTCTGCTCTTTGGTATATGATGAATTTATTTATTCTTTATTTACATTGCTTTACATCTCTCCTGATGCAACTGCTGAAATATTTTTATATCAGTTGACAGTCCCAAAACTAAGAAGAGCTTTTACTTTTAGCAAGAATGAACGTTCTTCCCTCGGCGGTGTTGGAAGGCAGATAAAATAAAGTATCATACACTAATAGAACATGCAGATGCTCATATGATAAAATCGAAACCATCAAACATATACTTATGGAGTGCCCTATATTCGACGAGTCGAGGGCTAATTTAGTCATCCCTTTACTTAAAGATACGGAATTGCTAAATGTGCAAGCCCAGGTGTCATGGCTACTGTTGGATACAAAATTCTCCCTCTAAGCTGTGGAGTCTTGTGAGCAAAAATTCTACTTTGTGAGCTCCTGGCAAGTGGTGAGCAAGCGATTTGGCACCTGCATAAATTAGTTTGCTCTGGAGCCATCCTTCCTGAGCTAAGGCCAAAAAATGTGAGCTGAAGGCTAAAAACTGTGAGCTAGCTCACACTAAGCTTAGAGGGAACACTGGAAGGGAGATACATTGCTTACATTATACCGTGTTATGCTCTGGGATTTTAAAGGTTTATTAATGTATTTTTTAAAGATTTTGTATTGTGAGCCGCCTTGAGGAGGTCTCTGAAGAGGTGGTGTGTACATTTGCTAAAGAAATAATTGGTGTGTTTTGCGTTTTTGTATGTTTGTTTAGCAGCCAGAAAGTATATCTCCTTATATTCAGTCTTCAGTGCTGGGCAAAGGCGTAAAACACCGGCCGCCTCCCATCAAGCTGCCTTCAAGTACAGGAAGCAGCTCTTCAGGTAATTTTAAAAGCATTTCTTGGTCATTTTGAGCATAGAGCAGGAGTCCCCAACTTTTTTGACCCTGCGGTCACCTTTGGAATTCTCACACGGTGTGGCGGGCACAGCCCACAAAATGGCTACTGAAGGAGGCCGAACCAACCACAAAATGGCCGCCACAGCTTCCCTTCAGTCACACATTGAAGATTCTTGTGATCTAGTAGCAGCTGCTGCCGGAGCAACCTTTTTAAAAACCTGCACAGCCCATCGACTCTCCAGCGGCCTATCAGAAACCTGGCCCCACACACTTTCCAAGAAAGCTCCACCTGGTTCCACCCACTTTCTGAAAACATTTGGTGGACATGAGGAAAAGTGTCAGCAGGTGCCATGGCACCCTTGGGCCCCGTTGTAGGGACCCCTGGTGTAGAGTGTATGGGGAGAGGTTCCTAAGCTTGGCTTTGCAGGTAAGAATATTCTTTACAGGGTGAACGTCTATCTTGGTCACCCTTTCTCTGCTGTTCCGTGCAGAGGTGGGTGGCTCATTCCCATTGGCCTTGGTGACACGGCCCTTCTGGGCAGCAGTTGCCGGAGGGGGGCACGAAATACCATCACCCTGTTACCTTTGCACGGCACTTTGACCACGCAGAGGCCACACAGATGCCCTTTACGGAAGAGGGAGGGAGGCGCCCTTCCCACTGGGAAGCGAGAGGTCATAGAGGGAGCAACCTAGCACGGGGGCGGGGGCACATCTGACCTTACTGTGGACAAATCCAGGCAAATTCTGGTTTCCAGCTGCTGTAGGCGCTAGCGATGATGCTTACTGCTTCCGTCGTGCTTATGCTTTTAGAAGAACCTGCTTAGAGGGATAAATGGCACTTCTGATGTTGGTTCATGGGACGTAACATGGCTCAATTGTGCTTTTTCAGGTAGCATTTTTAGCCCACAGCAGTCCAGCGGTCACCTGAAATCCCCGACTCCTCCTCCTCCTCCCAAGCCTCCCGGCGTCTCTCGGAAGCAGTCTCAGGACCTGAACCAGTTGAGCCTGCTCTCGCCAGCCGGCCTGTCCCCCGCCGGCTCTTCACAAAGTGAGTCTCGCCCTAAATTCTCCATTAAGTCTTCATAGGCAGCATTCTCGTGCTAAAGTTCCTAACCGGCTGACGGGAGAAACCTAAATGTCCAGCGTATGCTACAACGATAAAGTAGCACAGCTCTTAAGGCCGGGTCTCTGTTACCTGTATGTATTTCGTTTGCTGTAACTGTATTTGTTTTTTCTGTATAAGCATATCTGTATGCACCCTTTGTATATACGTTTTGATTTGTTTTATGCAGTCAGCGTTGGTCTCGCTCTTTGACACGGCCCGATGATCCACGCGACCTGTAGATGCTTCCAAAGCATAGCTCTTTCCCGCCATGTAGCGCACCAAGACCAAGTTTCATTTACGTACTTTTTAAACAGCTATTTTATTTTATTTTTAATGTCGTCAAATATGGTGCAGTTGTATCTCTGTGTATGTATATAACGTGATCGGTCCCGACGTGGCGATGAACAATAAACTATAAATGAGTTTTTAAAAACAACAACACTCCCGACATTGTTTTACAAATCATTGCGGATGACCAAAGCAAAATACGTGTGAAGAAGTTCGCTGTAACAGTGACATTTGTTAAATATCGTTTTCCGAGTGGAGGGACCCCCAAGATAGATTCGGGGGGATAGAATCCCAGGAATAACACTTGTAGATTTGAACTGGAGTATAAATGTTTTATGTGGGCTGGAGTATAAAGAGAGAGAGTAAGTGTGAGGATAGTTTATTGACTGTGGGTAGATTCCTGCAGGCCTTCCACCCACTGTGCAATGCAGTCTTGGGCTGTATGTGTGGCAGAGTTTAAAATTCTCTAGGTGGCCCATTTTTTTCTCCCCCCGCTTTCCTGTTTTGCACAAAGAAAACCCGTAATGAGGCTTTGATTGCCCTTTGTCTTCCCCTGACATTCTGATCAAGAAAAGGGGAGGGCTTCTTCTGAAAACGTTGCCGGTACGAATTGCCTAAATCTGCCGCACACGGATAACTGCTGTAAATAAGACTGTGCCCACAACTTCTGGACATTCACATTTCTTTCCTTTCTTTCTGCAGGACATGAAAGCTAACAAAACCCAAAAACCCAAAACCAAACAACCCTCAAAACATAAAAACGAAACCATCACAAGAGATTTTGGGTTGTTTGTTTTCATTCTGTTGGTACAGTGTCTTCACAACAAATTTGTACATGTTAAAAAATATTTAAATAGGGAAGACGCATTATTTATCTACCGCCCCAAGCAGTGCACCTTCCTTCTTTTCCTTCGGGATTAGGTCAAAGTCCAAAGAAACCTGCCGTAGATAACTATTTGTACTGTTTGCCCAATTCGGTCACAGTTTGTGTTTTTGTTCAATCTGTTTTTCCCTTTCTGTTTTAATATTATTCTGTTGTGCAGATGATACAGTAGACATGTTGGACAAAAAAAACATTACTAGAAGCAAAATAGTCTAGTTAGATCAGTCTTAGCAGGGTGCACATGACGTCAGGGTGTTAAGAATTCGAATGCCTTAGTGGAATAGAACTGAGTTTTGATCACGTTGCAGCGTTTTAAGCTTTTGTAGCGTGTTTTATGTGCCATTTGCTGCATCCTTTCATTTGTAAGAAGTTGCATTTATTAACACTTGCTGTTCGCTTGGGGGTTTTGCTTCTTCTTTTAACCTGGAGCAGACTGTCAGACCTAGAGGGTGCTTTCACACACACTAAAAAGGGGAGCGGTGGCACAGAGGATTTATCCTCTGGTTACAGTAACATCTGAACTGAACAGAACTGCTGTCAGTTCTAGCCCGTGCTGGTGTGAGCTACCAGCCTTGTCCCCAGCTCGCCGTCCACCCAGCGGTTCGAAAGCTTCAGCGAGTAGATAAAATGGGTACCACTCCTTAGAGAGGGTGGGCATACTAAACCCCCCCGGTGGGGGGAGGTGTTAGCCGGCGAAATGGAATGTCCAGCTCGGAAGCCTGTAAAGATCTCCTCGGCATCAAGAAGCCTGCGATGGGCCGATCCGGCCAGGCGGTGGCAGTGCGGCGCTGCGACTTGAAGCAGACCTGGAAAAAGCTGACGTCATCAAGCCAAGCCGAGTGAATGCCGTCTGGAACACGTCTAAGCCTACAGCTGAACAAAATCCCCGTTGGCTGCAAATGTGTGCGACTTAAAAGATTTATATGTTGTCCTCCTTTACCCCTATGAATCATTGTTAGTCCCGTGGGAATATGTGTAACTGTAAATCGCTCAGAGCCAGCAGCTCTGCAGGATTAAGCGATTAATAAATCAAAAGATATTATTATTATTATTATTATTATTATTATTATTATTATACAGCGCACTTTCAGTCCACTTTCAACCCACTTTGCAACTGGATTTTACCATGTGAAATGGCAAAGTCCACTTGCAAACAGTCGCTGAAGTGGATTGAAACTGCATTATTTAGCGTGTATGAAAGCGCCCGTATACGTTAACATTCCGTTAACCTTATCTAACGCAAGGACTGGCCTTTTTAACCAACTAGCCTTTTTTATTTGTCTCAATGAGCAGGGTCTGGAGCTCCTAAGCCATCTCCTCCTCCAACCAGCCCCCCTTCATCGGCCCCACTCCCTCCGAAACGCTCAGAGCTCCACTCTGACCCCCACTCCTGGCACCCCAACTCCCCCCCCCCCCCCTCCTTCCTCCCCCCCGTTTGCTCACCCCATTTGCTCAGCAGCAGATGGCTCTGAGCCAGGCACTGCCCCTAATGACCATTCCTCTTTCCACCACGGTAACGTCCATTCCTACAGGAACCTCCTCCAACAAGGTCACGACAAACACTGCAGGACTTGACTTCATCAATGTAGTAGGCTCTGTCTGGTAAGTTGGCTTTCATGCGGGTCTCACTAGTTCGCCTCTTTGCGCCCTTAGCGTCACGGCAGTTGTGCCCTCTGGGGACGTCGCTCCGAGGACAGGCACCGAATCGAGGGGTTGGACAAGGCTGCAGATAGTTGGATGGAGGGCCTGTGGGCCTTCAGCACTCCTTGCTTGTGGACACTTTGTGCTTTGTCTTCTGATTGAGGGTGGGGGAGAGAGCTGCCCCATTGCAGCTGACTCACGGGGGGTGGGGGGGAATCAGGTCTCAAGAGTGCAACAAGGGTCCTTTCCGCACTCGGATCTCATCCCTGGTTTTATCAGAGTTCAAGTCGCGACACAATATCTTGCATCTATCCCTGGTTATAACAGCATCCGTTTATCCCGAGACAAGTGTGGGGCGAAACCGGAGTGACCTCAATGTAATGTGGAAACAAAAAAATACCCCGTGATAATTACAGGGGTGAACCCGAGTGTGGTGTAGAATGTAAGTTCGGGGACAGGGTTGAACCAGGACTTAAGGTCTAGTGCGGAAAGGACCAAGAGGACCACGGTGTAAATGGTAGAAATTAATAACACCGAAGCACCGTGTAGTCATTTTAAATCAAATCTACACTTTGTTTTTTTCTATTCCAATATATCGGTCTTTTCAGTGGTAGTTTATTATACCACGAGCACAGTAATTGCAATGTAAATTAAATACAAAACTTCCAAAACTTTTGGTTACAAACATCCAAAGAATACAAGGAATACAATGTTTGCCCCTCTGTTTTCTAAGAGCGATATTTGATGAATATACTGAAGCTTCCATTATGTTATACTTCAGGAGATTGAAAACAACATTAGAATTATATATTTCTTGTATTTTGAGGAAGGCATCAGAAACAAGTCAACGCCAGCTCTTGTTGTCTTACAATTTCCTTGCATCTTTATTTTTGAGAGCCAGTTTGGTGTCGTGGTTAAGTGCGCGGACTCTAATCTGGGAGAACCGGGTTTGATTCCCCCACTCCTCCACTTGCACCTGGCTGGATGAACTTGGGCAAGCCGTAGTTCTGATAAGAGCTGTCCTTGAAAAAGCAGGTGGGTGTTGCCTTCTGACACACTCGTGCTAAACAGGGTGATGCCAGGGGTGTGTGGCATATGCAAATGAGTTGTGCTAATGAGCCTCCTGCACCTCTTTTTCTACGAAATGACCCCTGAGTGTAGGTATTGTTGTTGATGTATTATGGATACATTATGAATAGATTATGAATAACATAGTTAATATCAGTAGCTGTAGCTGATACTGGGAGAGAAAGAGACCTGGTATAGCCCTCTCTCGGAAGGGAGAACACCCAGGAAGACTCTGCAGGGGAAGGCCGTGGCCAGCCACCTCTGCTTCTTACTTGCCTTGAAAGCCCCCGCTGGGGTTGCCCTAAGTCAGCTGCAACTTGACAGCACTTCACACACGCACACACACACGCCTGATATAATGGTATGTGTTTTGGTGGGGCACAGGACTCACAGTGGTCAAGCTTTCTCTAAGCTGTGGAGGTCTTGTGAGCAAAAATTCTACTTTGTGAGCTACTAGCTTTAAAGTTGGGAGCACACGATTTGGCTACTGCATAACTTTGTTTGCTCTGGAGCCCTCCTTCCTGAGCTCAGGCAAAAATGTGTGAGCCGGAGGCTAAAAAACTGTGAGCTGGCTCACACTCAGCTTAGAGGGAACACTGGACTGGTCACATAGCTCGTTGGGTTGGTGGGAATCGCCTTGCAGGCCTCTCTCTGAGCCACCAAGCTCTCTCAGGCGCCCCGTCGGCATCTCTCCTAGCTGTGTGGGAGCCGCTTCCCTGGGGCCTGGTAGTCACAAAGCCCTCCACAGGCTCTGCTTCTGCTGCAGGAGCCACATAGTTGGGTTAAACTGTCTTCCAGCTGTGGAGGAGCCGTTCAGGGGTAAATGGCTCCATTGCGGCCGGTGGACTGTTTCCAAAGTCAGCTATGATGCTGTCTGTTCACCTGCTCTGTTTACCGTGGCCAGACTAAGATCATGCCTGCCTCTAGGTGAACAGTGAGGCCTCCAGATCAGGCAGAGACAGTGAGTTGTATGGGGGGAACACACCTGGGGTGCTTTGCTCAGCGAAGACTCTGCTCTTTCAGGCTAGAGATGTAAAATTTCCGGAAATTTCGAAGCTCGGAAAAAACCTCGAGTTTTTTCAGTTTTTTTTTCCAGGGGAAAACGGACATTTTCGGAAAAATTGAAAAAAATGTACATTAGCACTTCTTTTTTCTTTTCCAGATTGAAAGTCATTCTGTTACTTTAGGAACATAAAATATGACTATGGACATTTTTACTTGGCATGAAATTATCACAACTAGCATATTAAAAATATAGTGTATCCAAACAATTATTACAAACAGAATACCCACCCACATGAAAAAACAAAACTGAAACTTTTTTCCCTTTGTGACAATAGGACAATAAAGGAAGAAATGCATTTTGTTCTTGCACTAGAGAGTTCAGTTTGTAACCTAGGACTTGCTTGTCCTCAGTGCACAGAAATTAGATCAATTTGATACCATACATATTTTTTAGGAACGATTTGGAAAATGTTTGAACACCTTGTCCTAAAATATTTTATTCATCATGTTAAAATAAAATGTTCCATAATCAATTTTTTTCTTTTCTTTTTTCAATTTTTTGGAAAAAAACAAAGGCTTCAGGAAAAAAACGGGGGAAATACTGGGTTTTCTCCAAAAATTTTCCGTTTTTTTTCCGGGCCTTCACATCTCTATTTCAGGCCGAGCGCCATGCCGGTGTAATGTATCCCCCTTCCTTTCCGTGCAGTGGAGCGCAGACGCTGATGAGCGGCTTGAGCCCCCTGCTGGGGTGCGGGGCCGGCACGATGAGCCCCGCAGGCCTAAACCTGAGCAGCCTACTTCCGTCAGGAGGCCTATTACCCAGCGCCATGCCTGCCGCCGTGCCACCCAGCTCTCAGCCAGGTCAGTGCGTGTGAATGCTGGCCGTGGGTGCTTGGGGAGGGCAGGGGAGAACAGGTTGTTCGTCTTCCCTTTTTGGTGCAGCCCCGCATTGGGACTCCGCCTGCACACAGGCCGGCCACAGAAGGAATTTTTCCCTCGCTTAAAAGACCTGCAGGGGTCTCCCTGTCCTCCAGAGCCGACACAATGGCCTTTTCCTGCCTAAACCATCACACAGTCCAGAGGAGAGCGCCCCACTTCCCCTCAGTTCCTTTTCTGCCACTGTGGAGGTGGAACCTTCCTAGCTTTGCCACATCGTAGGAATCTTCTTCGCTTGCTTGTCTTAGTTGTTTTGCCTTTTTCCAGAGGATCAAGACCCAAGGCTAATATTTTCTGCATCTACCGACTCCCTGGCTCCCAGTTTCTGAAGAACTTGTTCTTACGGGTGAGGTGGCTTTTGTTGACCTACCTCCCCCCCCTTTCTGGGCCTGCTGGTCTTAGCTGATTTTTATCTCCTGGGTGCCTGTTGCATCGCTATTATGTCTGCCAAGACTCTCTTCTTCAAGAAATGCACTCCATGTGCTACAAAAATGACCCATAGTGATAATCACAATTTATGCCTCAGGCATTTGGGGGGAGTCTCGCAGTGTTTTGGTCAGCAGATTCTGTCAGGGCTTCATGCTGAAGGAGTGTTCCGACAGAACATTCCATTTAAAGGCCGCTCTTTGGGAAAGGGCTGTCATGTCTTCCGAGCCATCTAAGTCAGGTACGGGCGCAGAACCATCAAAGATGCCCTCCTTGCTGTGGCCAGCCCCTTTGGTTCCAGCACCAGAACCTTTTCTGGTCCACCATCAGTAGGCTCGGTTCTGATAGTGGACAAGCCTCTCTCACACCAAAAGAGATTAGCCACCATGAACCCAGCCTCGGTGTCGAAATGTCACCGCCCACCGTCCCCCGTTTCCTTGGGTCCTGCCCGTAGCTCTTCGGGACTGCCCAGTGAGAAGCCCAAGACGACAAAATGCAAGGAAACACCCGGGATCTCTTCTACACACCAGAAGTGTGTGACATCTATTTCTGCAACCATGGTCGAAGAGCCCGACATTAACAGGGTGCCTCCTCACACCCCGTCCCCCCACTTGGACCCACCTGACCGTCCCCACTTGGACTCACCCTGTTTTTCTTTTCTGCTGCCACAGACCTATCCATCCCCCCGCCCAGTGGCACCCTCTTTACATGTCACCGGCTTCTCTCCAGCAGCTGTTGGGAGTTTTGTGCATAGCGACCCCCCCCCCTTTGAGCCTCCAGTTCTTTTTTCTAATGAATAATTTTATTAGTTTTCAAAAAGAAAAGAAGAAAGTGAGAGCATTATATTGTCACAGTATCTAGTCAGTTTTCTCACACATAACAAAACCAAAAATATTTATTTAATTTATTAGATTTCTAACCCACCCTCCCGCCGAAGCAGCTCAGGGCGGCTTACATAAAATTTTAAAACCAGCGTACAATTTTAAAACCAGCAATACAACATAAAATACAGTTCCATAAAATTCCAATAAATACAATTAGACTATTTAAATACGACGGCATCATATAATAAAGTGCAGGTGCAACACGACCAATTAAATCAGTTATTACTGGAACGCCCGGCGGAACACCTCCATTTTCACGGCTCAGCGGAATTGCTGGAGGTCCCGCAGAGCCCTGATCCCAAAACTTTACCAAGTTAACAAATACCATTTTAACTACATTATATATTTTAATAGTTACTAATTTTCTTTACTGCCATATATCTATTAATTTTTTACTATATATTAATTTTCAAATGAATTTGATTAATATAGTCCTCTAGTAACATAATCAGTCTTCTACTAATATTTCAGCGATGAGAAATCAAAAATCATTCCAACAGTCATATTTAAAGAAGAATGCAATTATATGAATCACAATAAAGGACCAAAACGTTGGCATTTCATTGCTAGGTTTTTGGTAGAATCTTATAGTCGTTCATGAGCCTCCAGTTCTGAAGCGTAGGCACTTTTGGGGGGATTCCAGATGAGACGAGCCCCATTTATCCTTCCTGGGCCCCCCCTGTCACCCTACTCCAAGCCAGAGGGTGAAGGAACTGGTGTCCTGTTACAGCTCCGAGGGCCATTCGGAACAGGGCTGAGGACCCCACTCCCATTTCCCCCAACAAGGACCTTTGCCGGTATGGCGAACAAATGCTCAGAATGGCCAAGGCATTGGACATTGACGTGACCGCCCTTGATAGTAAACCTAAAGACAAAACTATCAGTCGCCTGTTCCTTGGTTCTTCAGGCATCATTGCCTTTCTGGTCCTTGAAGGCCTCACCGACCTCATAGCCCCCAATGTGGCAAGAACCTGTATCTGCCACCTCTCGTAGAGTGGGAAACTTCTTTAAGGTCAAATAGGACTCTTGTGACTTTTATCTGCCCAGCCACCACCTTCTTCCCTTATCACTGGGGAGACGAGGATGCGGCAAAGACAGCGTCAGCGCCAACGCTCCCTCTAAGCTGTAGAGTCTTGTGAGCAAAAATCCTACTTTGTGAGCTACCGGCATTAAAGCTGTGAGCCAGCGATCTGGATACTGCATAAATTAGCTTGCTCCGGAGCCCTCCTTCTTGAATGAAGACAAAGATGTGTGAGCCGGAGGCTAAAGAACTGTGAGCTATCTCACACTAACTCAGCTTAGAGGGAACACTGGTGGGGGGCTCCCCAAGTGGACCTGTTTGAGACGTACGATACAAAGGCAGCCCTGAACTTTAGAAGGCAGCAACTCTGCTTCATTGGGAGATGCCTTCCAAATCCCCTGGATGGGTGGTCTGTTTTACACGTGTGTATGTGTGTGTGTCCCAGTTGCGTCCCTCAGCAGGGTGCCGAAAATGCCCGTCTGCATTCTGATAGCTCCCTTTTGCCCATATCAAATCTGGTTTTGGGCGCTTTTTCGCCTAAGAGGCTCAGACTACATGACCTTCCTTCCTGTTTGGGAGCTGCTTACACAGGGCCATCTACTGCACCATGATGTTGGGCGTCTATGGCCCCATTCACATGGAGGATTTGCCGCGCTAAAAATGTCAGGCAGATTTTCGGGGCGCGATCACACCGCAACATCTGGGAAGCGTGCACCCGTGGCCAACCTGTGGCATCCCGCCGAAGATGCACAGTAAAAAAGTACCGCGGAAAGTGCACTAGTATCTGGAAAACGCGGGGCAGGCGTCTGATCATGGGAGCGCCCGTCCAGGATGTTTTTTTTCGTAAGCACATGTGCACAAACACGTAACTGAAATCAGTGCTGCTTCGCAGAATTGCGCATGCGCACAAACGCGAAACGCTTGCCACGCCGCTTCTTTGCCACGCTCCAGCATCGCCGTGTGATTGCCAGCTAACAGCCTAAGTGCGACGACTCGGGGGACCGTCTGATCGGGCTACCGTGCTTTATTTTTCTCCGGGGCAAACAGCCACGCCTCCCCCCCCCCCACGTTATCTGGCCCGTGTGACCGGGGCCTCTATCTCACAGCATGGAGAATCCATTTCAGGGCTCCACTTCACCCCCAAGGTTTATGATGTGCTAGTCCAAGCTAGAAAACCCTTGACTTAGGTACCTCTGTTCTAGGAAATGGACCCGATTCGAGAAATGGGCTACCTGAAAGGGTGCCTCTCCACTCACCTGTCCCTTGCCCTTAGTGTTGGAGTACTTATTTTCTTTGACCCAAAGGGGCTTGGGCTGTGCCATTTCCCTGTACCATGATCTTCCAGAGGGGTCTTCTTTGTTTTCCCATAGGTTGTCTCAGCGTTTTCTCAGGGGTCTGATGAATGTGTTTCCCCCTGTACCCACCATTGCTCCCCAGTGGTCACTCTCTTTAGTTTGGGCCAGCTTCTCGGCCCCTTATTTGAACCCCCGGCCTCTTGAGAGCCAGTTTGGTATAGTGGTTAGGAGTGTGGACTCTAATCTGGGAGAGCCGGGTTTGATTCCCCACTCCTCTGCATGCAGTTACTGGCGCGACCTTGGGTCAGTCACAAGTTCTTTTGGAGCTGTTCTCTCAAGAGCAGTCCTCAAGAGAGCTCTCTCAGCCCCACCTACCTCACAGAGGGTCTGTTGTAGAGAAGGAAAAGGAGATTGAAAGCTGCTCTGAGACTCCTTCAGGGAGTGAAGTGTGGGGTATAAATCCAATCTCTTCTCTCTTCTTCTTGTCCCTTGGCCATGCTCACCAGAAAGGTTGCATTCCTGAATAGTGGTCCCCTCCGCCAGGAGGGTGAGTAAACCAGCCACCCTTAAAGTAGGGAAAAGCCCCTCCCAAGTTCCTGAAGGTTTTTAATGAGAGGGTCGTACTTTACCCCAGTTTCTACCCGAAGTGGCCCAAGAAATGGTTTGTCCATATTTTTTTTTTCCTTTGCCCTCTTCAGGGGTGGAAAAGGCACTTCGTTGGTTGGCTCCTTGAAGCACCTTGTTCTCCTACATTGATAGAATGGAATCTTTCAGAGCTGATAGAGCTTTATTCATCTGTTACTCAAGTCCATAAAAAGGGGAAGGCTGCGTCCCCACAGTCACTTTCAAGGTGGATTACAGCCGCCATCCGGTCATGTTTTGAGGTCGCTGATCAATCCTCTCCCCTCAGTGTCAAAGCCCACTCCTCCAGAGTGGCGCAGGGGTCTTTAGCTGCCTTCCGTCGCTGAGTACCTCTTGTTGGCACCTGTAAAGCAGCAGCCATGGCCAGCTGAGGACACGTTTGTGAGGCAAGAAAAGATGCAGAGGTTGGCAAGGCGGCGCTTCAGTCGTTTTTGAAATGAGAGCATTGCCCCTCCACCTTCTGGTGAGTCGCTCACTAAAACCCCCATGTGGGACTGCACCAAAGACGGAAGATGAAAAGAGAATTGCACTTACCTATAACAGTTCATCGATGTCTTCTGTGCAGACACAAATCCGCCCCCCTCCTGCCCCACTTTGATCTTTCAATAAAAATAATCGGAATGTGAGGGTTTGCGGCGGAGAGGCAGGAACTGGGGTGAAAGGGGGGCGCTCTCCTCTGGAGCATGTGACGGTTTTGGCGGGAAAAGGCCGTCACGTCAGCGCCAGAGGGCAGGGAAGCCCCCCTCCCATCCCGGTCTTTTAAACTAGGAAAGAATTCCTTCCATGGCCGGCCCGCACTCAGGCACAGTCCCGACGCATGTCTGCACAGAAGATGGCAGTGGACAACAGTGACGGGTAAACGCAACTTGGGTTTCCTTTGGTCAGCCATGCTCTGCGGCACTCGATCGGAACTGCATTGGACTGGCCTTTTGAACTGACATCGTCTGACTCGATTTCCACTGGGTTTTATTATTGATTTTATTTTTCAAACTTATATTCCGCCCTCCCCACAAGAGGGCTCAGGGCGGATCACAAAGCTATTCGGCATCACAGTATAAATACATTAATAGACAAATTTAAAATAGTTAAGAATAACCATTTAAAACCAATTGTGCATATAAATAAATATTGCATTCTCCAGAGCTGCTAGGTGTCTGGTTGAAGATCTGCTTGCTCTAGGCTACATTGACCTGGTGAACTTCAGCAAGGGGGGTCAGCTTGTTCACTGGATGCTGGCCACCTCAGCCAAAGGAGGTCCCTGCTGTCATCCATAACATGGGAGCATGTTCCACTAGGCCGGAGCCAGGGCAAAAAAAGCCCTAGCCCTGGTTGTGCTGAGGGTGTCGTGGAGATCATCACGTGTAGACATAGGTCCCAACTGAGGTCAAGAGATGTGTGGTTGCTGCCAGTATCACCAAGAGGCAAAAGATTATTTTCCACTGAGGGGTTCAGAGGCAATAAGCACACTGGCGATGAAGGACAGCAGTGTTATTGAAATCTCTATAGGTATGAGAAATCAACAGGTCATAAGAACAAAACAGAGAATCTGCCCTTGAGCCTTTCTGCTATGAGAACCTCAGCTCAGGCCGTGCCTTAGACTGCTGAGTGGATTAGCCAGTTCAT